GCTAAGGCCAACTGTTGCTTAATGCACAGATGACATAACATTCATTTTATTGATGTTGTTTATGTGTTTCAGACTGAAAGTTATCAGATACAGATTTATGTGGTCCCTCGCAGAATGTGAAACTCAAGTAAACCTGAAGCATTTATCCAAGCAATTATTACAAAAAAGACTGGGAAAAAAACATGTTGCTGAATGTCAAGCATATAGCTTTAACCCTAGCAAGATTATGTACAATTGGAAATGAAACTCATATGGCACCATGAAGACAGGTTGGAACAAACACAAATCAAATTCCCCCAGACTAAAACTGTTACATATCTTTTTGTTCATGTTTTCAAAGAACGTGCTAATAGAAATTCACACTTCCAAAGATGTAAATCAAGTTACTGTTGAATTGTTAAAGAATAACACTATTATATATTGTGTACAGGAAAATGAAAACTGCAAGGAATGTTTACTTTCAAAAATTCATCAGTTCCATAGGTATTGTTCTAATAGGGAAGTCAAAGTCTACATGTTGTAGTTAAGATGAGCAAGACTTTAGAGTTATTACACTTTTTCATTGCAATTATTTTAAATACCTGTTCTACTGATTAAAGGAAAGGGGCTTACATTTGCCAAAGCATTTTTGCAAATTATTTCAATTCCTTTTGGGTAGTTAGGCAGCTCAAAGTTCAATTCCCTATCAGAGTTATTTGTCACTCTGCCAATCTCTGTATACTTCCTAAAATGACAACTGGGTTCAAGGGAAAGCTTACTTAAGCTGAGGACACTGAAAGAGAGATGTATCTCTGAGTCTTCATCCATCTTATTTGTATCCTATCTGCTTTTGTTCATATTAACATATTCAATTTAATACTCAAAGCATAGTAGATATTAGTATTTCCATTTTGCTAGTAAGAAAATGGGGTCTCAGAAAGGTTAAATATTCACTCATGCAATAGAGTCAGTACAACACGTACAGCTAAGTGTCATCTGATAGACACATCAAAGCTCTGTATATAATCTACTAAAATGTGTCAATTAATTTAATCCACAATAACCTATGATGATGATACTAATATATCCATTTCACAGATGAGGAAAACAAGACACAGAGAGATAAAGTAACTTGCCTCACACTCCAGTGATATCTGTAGTGCACCCAGTTTTGTTACTCAGAAGCATAGCCCCTGCCTCTACAAATACACTAGAAATTCAGATGGCCTAAAAGCAGAGTGGAATCTGAACAATGGGTCTGTACCTTCAAAGAACTATAAACACTATCCATCATCTTGCACGCTATATCCTAATATGTAGCATGTTATATTCCACGGCAGTTAATGAGATGAGTTAAACATTAGCTGTTACGGTTGTTTCCCAGTGACTGACTATCACTGTCAATCAGTTTAGAACTCACAATCAGTTAAGCCTGAAGCACTAGACCTATTTATTTTTTTAAATGATTTATTTATTTATTTATACAAGCACTGGGTACAGTCAGAAGCACGGGAAGGTGAGAGAATTCACCAGAGCCAGAGCAGGGAACAGAACAGGTAGACTGACGAAATACACTGCTGAGGGTGCAGCGGGCGGCAGGAGAGGTCTACTTGCCATGTGGGACCCTCGCCTGGTGGCCGGGGATCGAACGGGTGCTGCAGAGGCTGCGGGCAGCTTTGCAACGCAGCGCTCAACCTCTGCGCCACAGGGGAGGCCCACTAGACCTATTTTTAATGTGCTGACTTACCTTATCCATGGGTCCCTACAAGTTGGTATACGACTATGAATTTACTAGTGGAGCTGAGGAGGAAATGAAACATGAATGCACAGAGAGTTGCTGCCTACCCTAAATTCAACACCCACCTTAGCTGTGTTCTGCAGAGGTTGACAGTGAGGGGTCCTGTAATTAATCAGTTTTAGGCCTGATGAGAAATGACTGAATGAAAGGCTCATGGCTGAGAGGGAAGAGATACAATTTAGAGTTGCAGAGACCACAGAGAGCGAGTATTTTGGAAGAAGACAGCTATTTCAAGAGAGAAAAGTGGCATTTGTTTTATATGATGGTTGATTCTTCCCCTTCTAGATACTATGACTTTGGGAAATCATTCTCTGACCATCCCCAATTCTGCTTTTAGTGTCTGTTTTAATGGAGTCTCATAATATACTTCATAACTCATTAAATTTATTTCAAACAAATTTTACAAATTATAGGAAATATTGGCAAACATTTTCACTGGACATTTATCTTGAAAAAATGAAGCAAAATTATGCATTTGTCTATCTTAGTTTATATTTTGTTCAATTTGGATTATAAGTGTAACTACATTTCTTTTCTGAAAATGCATAAAGAATAAAACAAATAATAAAAGAATTAGTTTTGACTTTACATCTAAATTTTATCATGTAACAAAGAGGGTCTAATTCCGAAGAAAATTTCTAAAGATCATCCACTACGATTGTAAAGACAACTAACTCTTGCAAAGGGATCATACAAAGAAATTAAATGCTTGTCACTTTTCTCTAAAATCTTCCTTATTTTCATATTGTCAAATCAAAATTTTGGAAAGCCTAACTTTAATCCTTGTTGATTTTCTTTTTTCATTTTTTCTACCATTGAGAAGTGCGGCAGTATTTTTAACTGTATTAATATTCATTAGCTATATTAACTATATTTAACTGCATTAATTAGTAGTTACCAGTGATTAATGCAGTTAATCATTATTCATGATTAATGTAGTTCTCCAATATCACTTTCAGGAATTTCATGAAATCTTACATTTGTTACAGGACTTATAATTTCACTTTGCAATTACATGCTATTGTCCTTGCATTGTTTGTAGATGTTTTCAAAAGCTAGTAACTAGTGAAAAATGGACCAACAAGATGTGAAGACTTTTATGTGATGAGGGAGATGTTTGACATTAGGAGCAGGACTGATATTCAGCCAGTAAACACTGGTGTGGCCATATCTAGTGTTGAATTATTACTTGCATCTTTGAAATAAAGCCATCTCCTTGAAATCCAAAACATGCTAGATGCTGCTGCTTCAGCATAGATGCTTCAGCACCTTGAAACTAATCTGTGGTCCCCAAACATCCTCATAATGTGATAAATACAATGGAAATCCCTGCCACAGCCAGACCCCATGACATTACCCCAGGATTTCAGCAAGCATCCTTTCTGATGGCTAAGGTTTCTCCATGCTAGATAGAGAGACTATCCATGGGATGGGATGCTTGAATTCAGATAACTTTTTAATCAGTCTAGTGGTAAATATTCCCCATGAGATGACATTTCTATCCCAGTATAATGCTAGGATGTTAGGGAATCAGAAAATGAATACTTGTAGGAGGAATTCCCATTCTCCCATGCTGTCATAACTCTTAGCACACCATAAAACCAGTGTTTCTTTCAGTTTTTTTTTTTTTCTATTTGTTTGTTTTCTAATCTGAACTGCCTAAGATATGGAGGAACTGAACTGTCTTTCTCTTTGGTCAATTCAGTGAACTAAGTTTTTTTTTCCTAGTCTCTAAACACTGATGGTTTCTTGTCAGTGGAGTAAAAGCTAACATCCTTGCAATGTTTGTAAAAATTCTGAATTGTTTTCCATACACTGTGCCCTGTAAACACTCTCACCCTACTTATTCTGGTTGAACCATACTTTCTTTCTTGCTCTTCCTCATTCTTACCAATACTTAGCGTTTATGGCCTTAGTATTTGTTGTTCCCTCTGCTTCCGTCTTTCCCTAGATATTTTAATGACTCATTTCTTCAACTACTTGCAGATGTCTACTTAAAATTTTCCTTTTTGGGGAGTCTTTTCTGACCTACTCCATTTATTTATTTATTTATTTATTTTTTTATTAGATAATAAATTTTATTGTTATATTCCCCATACAATTGCAGCGCCCCCATTCTGACCCCAATCCCTCCCCTCCCGCCCCTGCCCCCCTAAAAGTGTCTCTGGTTCATAGTTTTTTGTTGATTTTGATTTTCACTTTCTTATAGTTATTCATTTTCCTGGTCCCTTATTTAAGTTTTCTAGATTCCTGCTATGAGTGAGACCATCCGGTATTTTTCTTTTTCTTTTTGGCTTATTTCGCTGAGCATGATCCCTTCCAGCGCCATCCATGTTGCTGCAAATTGCATGTGTTTATCTTTTTTGAATGCTGAGTAATATTCCATGGTATATATGTACCACATCTTCTTGATCCAGTCATCTATTTTTGGGCATTTGGGTTGTTTCCAAAGCTTAGCTATTGTAAACAGTGCTGCTATAAACATAGGGGTGCAGGTGCTCTTTGGAATTGATGTTTCTGTGTCCTTTGGGTAAATACCTAGGAGTGGAATGGCTGGATCATATGGAAGCTCTATGTTTAGTATGACCTACTCCATTTAAATGTTCACCCTTTTCCTTGTTATTCTATATGTCTCTTCTAGGCTTTATTTTTCTTTATTGATATATGACTGTCTGTATGAAATAGATATTCATCTATCTCCCTTCTATGATGTCAGCTTCACATGTGTAAAGACTTCTCCAGCTCATCACTAATGTAGCTGTGGTCTCTAGAATGTGCTTAGAACATAGTAGATGTCAAATTGATATTTTTGAATTAACAAATCAATGATTGAAAGCACTGGGAGAGGTGAATTATCATTTACTAAAAACGTTCAATGTGAGTGATGCTTCCCTTATTTGTCAAACAATCCTGAGGTTTAGAAACAAACATTTTCTTTAAAAAAGAAGAAATAGAGTTGCTAGAGTAGTTCAGTCAAGGAGGCCAATAAAGAAACCACCACAGGTTCTTCAACTCAAATTTCTAAGGACACCATTATGCTTTCTAGGTAATCTCCAAAATCTAGAAACATTTATGGTGTATTGGTTGTTCCAGAAATCACACAATGTCAGAGATTCTGCTCTTAGTTATAACAGATCATACCTCATGTAGTTTGAATTTCTAATTTGGGTACTGACATATGAAAATAGAGCCAAGTAGAAAGAGTGCAAATGAAAAACACTACCTGTGCTGGCGCTGGCATCCATGAACTTTCCATACCTAAAATGAAAATTATAAAAATCTGTGTGATTAGACCACATTACTCGCCTTCTTTGGAACTGATCCCAATTTTATAAACCCAACAATTATAGCAACATAAAAATGGAACCTTAAAAATTACGATCTATTTAGTCAGCCCGCAATGTTTTGTAAATGGTTTTACTTTAGAACATGTCTCATTTACATAATTGCTAATGTGAATAACAGAACTCAAAGGCCATGGCAAAGAAAGTCGTCTGATAGTGGTGGCTGCCGAACTACAGTTGTACAGCTGTAGAGTTGTACAACTACCATGGACAGCAACACAACTCACAGGAAATCCAATTCCCTCTGCTTGAGGCAATACCCAGTGCTGATGATGGGTTGGCAAAAGAAGAGTGAATTGGATTTTTAGTATACACTCATTAAACATGTTTTCAAAAATTGGATTTCCCATGTTCAGATTCAGCTCTAGTATCCTGTAGCCAAAACTGAGTTATTAAATAGCTAACCTCTCTTTGAGTTAGTATCACATTAGTCAATTAACACAGGTCTTATGAGACCTGTCAAGTAGCAAATTGTTTTTAATAAACATATATCAATGTACACAAATATATTTTAAACTAAGTTCATAAATGTGTTAAGATAAATTTAGTGAGGAAAGAGAGATCTCATAATCCCATAATCATGCATCATTTTGGCAAAATTATCAACTACCTTCATTAACTATTCCTTTTTCAGGCTGGGATAGTAAGGATTTAGTTTAGAAAATCATAATCATTGTGAAGACATCTTTCTTTATTGCTTATTCTTAAAATATATTGTATACCTTAAAAATAATTCAAGGACAGATAATGGTGTTTGAAGACCTAATTAGATTATTGTATTAAGTACAAATAGCAATTCCTCACTCTACTCTTTGTGCACTACATTTGGAAATAGACAATAATTACTTGAATATGTAATTTTGCTTATGTTTTTGACAATTGTACTATTTTTCATCTTTAGTTTATAGAGAAATTATTTTTCTTGTTTTATAAAGAAATTGCCTCCTTTATATAAAATGGAATTTACAAACTAGGAAGCAGAAAAAAACAATAATTTCTGATATTTAGAAGAATATTTGGGAAATGTAATATTCTCCTCAATACAATTTAGTCAACAGAAAATTAGTATGTATTATACTCAAATTATCATTTTATACTTTTAGAGTATAACAAAATACACTGAAAACAAAGGCAATTCCAAACATTCAAAATGTAAATTCATCTATTATATTTGTCATTCTGAACAAACTATATTTTTCAGTGCATCAGGATTATTGCCACTTGTATCAATTTTCAATTTTCTATCAGCTGGGATGCAAATTGATATCTTTAGTTGATACAACACTGTATGAAAGAATGTTAACCTTGGTTTAAACAAGGAATATTTTGGAGAAAATATAAGCATCAGTAGGATTGGAAAACATACATATTCAACAACATTACAAAGAATTCAGTAAAACTGAAAAAACTGAGACCCCCAAATTTTGTTCTGTTCTTTGCCTGCTATGCAAATCTCAGATTTTTAGACAATATCTCAGTTTTAAGTAAAAATAATTTTCTGCTACTTTTCTAAAACTATTTTCATTGGATTTTGTAATGTATAGTACATACAAATTGTATACATCTATGCATCATATATATGGGATATACATACACCTATGAAATGACATGTAATATATCAAAAAGAGATCTTCCAGCTGCTACATATGTTTCAGTTATTCTTAAAATTAAACACACTCTATTATCCAAATTATTTCAAAGGTAGTCTCTTGTCACATAATTTACAAGTGAATACATTTGAATTGAATCTCTGTTTTTACTGTTCTCACTGCCTTTACTCAAACTTGAAAAAACTGTTGCAGAGTTTACACTTTTTCAACTGATTTCCTCTCCAAAATGTCATCATTCTCACCCACCCCTATCCTACTCTGGCTTGTTTAAGAGCCTTACTTCCATTTCTTCTTCCACACCCTTTTTCATTGGATCTCTGAGTTTCTCCCTCCACTATCCATAGCGAGTTTCTATTTTCTAGCTCAAATGATTTTAGAAGACTCCACTGGGGTGATAGGTGCAAAACAATCTCAAAAATAAAAATCAAAACTAATTCACTGAGTTTCTAAAATATTCATGACACAGCTGGAATCTGCTGCTTATTACATTTCTTTTGAAATGTTTTTTATGACATTTTGTCTTTTTTGCCTAGACCTATGAATCTTGATTAGACAATCCCTGTCCCTTTCTTCTGAATACATGCTCTCTAATCTAAAGCCTAATGCCAATTATACAACAGTTCATGCAAACTAACCCAAATCACCAAAATTCTATTCATTTTTAATTCTGAAAACATATATATGTGACATATATATTTAAATATTAATAACCATGTCTTACTTTTTAACTCATTCTCAGAGTATAGTTTTTAAAAGATTAGGAATCAAAGTTCAACCTTTAGGTTTCTGATTTCTGGCAAGTCTGATACCAGGTGCATTAGGAGGTATTGAAATGCCTGACAATGAAAATATTTAAACAGTAAAGTTTCAAACAAGAAATAATATGGATTGATATAAATATAAATAACATTTATATGTAATAACACACACTTTTAGGATACTAGATTCTATACTTAGGACAGGACAAATTATGTAGTTCCACAAGCTGAAGTGCTTGCTGTTATCCCAGTGTCATGTCATTTACTTTTGAAATTTAATTTTAATTTTATTCTATGGATGCCTGATCAGGTCCAAACTGGTTTCTGACTCTGCCCCAGATACAAACATTAGACAAGGATCCTCTAAAGCTATATATTATGATAATATTTTCCTTTTAAATACATTAGCCCCATCATATATTTCTTTTTTTTTTTTTTTTTTTTTTTTTGGTGGGACCCTCCCCGATGGCCAGGGAATGAACCGGCGCTGCAGAGGCTGCAGGCAGCCTCGCAGCGCAGAGCTCAACCGCTGCACCACCAGGGGAGGCCCCCATCATGTATTTCTTATTCCACAACCTAAAACTGCAACCTATATCTTCCAGCTACCACTTCCTAGTAGGGCACCAACATCACCTCCACATACATATTTAATATTTCAAGTATGAGAAAATAAGCGATCCTATTACACTTTTAGCAAAAGAGTTCACATAAAGAAAAATTTGGAGAAAATAGTGACACAAAGTTATATCATCTTTCTTAGTTTTGCAAAAATGTGCTATAGATACAAGATTTCTACATTTATTTATTGATATTGAGATTTCATATTTTCAACAAGTTATTTGACTATTGAAGCATCCAGGATACCAGCTAAATAATGTTGAGAGGTTGAAAGCATTGTCGTGATGTGAATGAAGCTTAAATGATTTATACCTGCTCAGTCTAATAAAAAATAGAAACATGTAATAATTCTATAAAATAAAAGTGATAAACTGAAGCCAATGGTTCTTGTTATTATTCTGAATTTTTTTAAAAAAAGTAAAATAAAAGGGAAAAGTACTAAATCATTCTTTTAAATACAAAGAAGAGATCATCTAATTCCTGGACACAGATGAGAATGTACCAAGATAAAGCTATGATCAAATAATGGGTATGATAAAGATTTCCCCCCCATTTTTCAGAATATAAAGCTATGATCAAATAATGGGTATGATAAAGATTTTCCCCCCATTTTTCAGAATAATGTATGCCATGGCGGGGGCAGGAATAGATAACATAGAGTTTAGAAGTTTGCTGCAGTAGTTCCACAGAAAGATATATCTATATCTATATCTATATCTATATCTATATCTATATCTATATCTATATCTATATCTATATCTATCTATACCTATATCTATATCTATCTATACCTATACATATATAGATATCACACACATCAGTATGTGTATATATGCATGTATATGTATACATATAAAATATAGCATATATTATGCACATACATTAGCATAACTACTCTCATAGGACTTGAGGAAATCACTTAGAACAAAAATAACAACTTCTCAAAAAAACTTTCCTGAGCACCCTGTCTTAAATAGCAACTCCTTTGTTGATTATTCTACACTTCCCCTGATTTTATTGTATTTTAGCACATATCACCAATTGATAATTACTAAACAGTTTTCAGTTTATATTCGCTGTCACTCACCAATATGATTTTTATGGTCTATATGCTTTTGTAACCCAAAAATTCATATGTAGTAACCCTATTCTTCAATGTTATAGTAGTTGCAGGTAGGACTTTTGAGAGGTAATCAGAAGTAATTAGAGGAGATCATGAAGTTGGGATCTTGAGGATGGAATTAGTATCCTAATATAATAAGAAAACATCATGTTAGGACACAGCAAATAGGCAGTTGTTTTCAAACCAAGTAGAGGTTCTTCATCAGATTTTGAACTTCCTAAATTCCAGAATGGTGAGAAATAAATGTGTTGTTAGAGCCAGCCAACAACAGTCGAATCATGCAGATGACCTTTAAGTGTATAGCCATAAGCCATCAGGTTTCATATTACTGAATTACACAGTAAGAACTACCTGGTTAATATATCGTCTGCTTTAGAGTAAATCAAAATTCTTCCCCTAGCTTTCCAAACTTTACGTAATTTGGCAAGCTCACCCTCTCCTATCTGACATATAAGATTTCTTCCCTTTATTTATGTGTTCTGCTACACTGTATTCTTCCAATTCTTCAGGCACACCAAGTCTATTTTTTTTAATATTTTATTTTATGTAATTCTTAACTTCATTTTTCATTTTTGCACAATGTATGCATTTTCATTTTGGTTATATTACCCATACAATTGCACCCCCGCTTATTTTGACCCTAATCCTTCCTCTCTCCCCCGCCCCCCCCCCATAGTATGTCTCTGGTTTATAGTTGCTTGTTGATTTTGATTTTTACTTTGTATTAATTAGTCTTTTTCCTGGTCCCTTATTTAAGTTTTTAAATTCCTGCTATGAGTGAGACCATCTAGTATTTTTCTTTTTCTCTCTGACTTATTTTCGCTGAGCATGATCCCTTCTAACTCCATCCATGTTTCTGCAAACTGCATGTGTTTATCTTTTTTGAATGCTGAGTAATATTCCATTGTGTATATGTACCACATCTTCTTAATGCAGTCATCTATTTTTGGGCATTTGGGTTGTTTCCATAGCTTAGCTATTGTAAATAGTGCTGTATAAACATAGGGGTGCAGGTACCCTTTGGAATTAATGTTTCTGTGTCATTTGGGTAAATACCTAGGAGTGGAATTGCTGGATCATATGGAAGCTCTATCTTTAGTAGGCTGAGGAATCTCCACACAGCTCTCCATATTGGTCTGTTTTGTCTGGCAAGTTTTTTGCTATCTTTGCCTTTGTGAACATGGATAGCCAAAGCCTTTGAGAATGTACAAAATGGGTTTTCCCTTAAATAATTTGGGCTCCCTTACAATATTGCTGTTGCTCCTTTCAAAATTGATACATAATTCCTTTAAAAACCATGGGGACATTCTTTGTTTAAATTTTAATCCACTTTGTTAGGTAATTATCATGTCAAAAAAAAAAATCCTACAAGATAAGCTATTTTCTTCCTTAAGCCCCCAGAGACTACTTTGCAACAATAGACCTAAGATTCTTAGAAACTTTATTGTTTATCAGAGAGGTTATAGTAAACATTCCTTTAAGAGTCTTATAAAGTTTTTGTCTAGTTAAAGGGTTTATGAATGGACACTTTACATTTTCTCAGCAAAGGATTTCACTGTTCACATTGAATTTAATTTTTATTAAAACCACATTTTATGGTCCTCCCCTGGTGGTGCAGTGGTTGAGCGCTGGGCGGCATAGCTGTCTGCAGCCTAGGCAGCACTGGTTCAATCCCCAGCCGCTGGCGAGGTCCCACATGGCGTGACAGACCTCTCCTACCTTGCCCGCTGCTCCCTCAGCAGTGTATTTCATCAGTCTGCCTGTTCTGTTCCCTGCTCTGGCTCTGGTGAATTCTCTCACCCTGCCGCGCTTCTGACTGTACCCAGTGCTTGTATAAATAAATAAATAAATCTTTAAAAAAAACTACATTTTATTATCTTGGATTTGATTTTATCCTGAGACCATCTCATAATTCAAGAACCTTTTGCTACCCAGAAAAACTATTGGATCTTCTTTATTTGTTCTAAATTTTTCTTAAAAACTAAACAATTCCTACCTTAGTGATTCTCTTCACCTCTTTCATCATGTACAACTAAAGAGGACAACTGGCAATTTTTTTTTTTTAAAGATTTATTTATTTATTTATTTATTTATTTATTTATTTATTTATTTATTTATTTATTTATTTATTTATTTATTTATACAAGCACTGGGTACAGTCAGAAGCGTGGGAAGGTGAGAGAATTCACCAGAGCCAGAGCGGGGAGCAGAGCAGGCAGAAGGACCGAGGTACACTGGAGCAGCGGGCAGCAGGAGAGGTCTGCGCGCCATGTGGGACCCTCCTCCGGTGGCCAGGGAGCAGCCGGGATCGAACTGGCGCTGCAGAGGCTGCGGGCAGCTTCGCAACCCAGCGCTCAACTGCTGCGCCACCGGGGAGGCCAAACTGGCAATTTTTGTAGTTTGCCTGGAAACGTCCCTCAATAGATCTACAAGTTGAGAAGTTATACTCACCATTATCCAAAGAATTTCAGGAAACAGTACTGCTAAATTTCTGCAACGATATAATAAATATCAGCTTTTAATATCTTTTCAAATTAACATTTTACTTTACAATTGTTTTATTTTTATTTTATTTATTTAGGTAACATTGGTTGAGGACACTGCTTTTGATTCAGAGGAATAAAGTTCACACCTCTTCAAATGCATATTACCACATCCACACTCACCACCAAGGCAACCATAGAATGGTTCCCTCCACCTTTGCATTTCCACCTTGTCCCTCCTTCTCTCCTACTGATATATTCAATTTTACAGTCACATCTACAGGGTTTGTTTTGGTTTTGGCTTTGTATGACTTTTTGTTGTGTGAGTATATTCTATATGAGTGGCAGCATCAGGTTATATCTCTTTCCTCTGACTTAATTCTACTTAGTATAATCCCCTCCAATTCTGTCCATGTTATCACAAAGGCAAGAGTTCATCTTTTCATAGCCAAGTAATATTCCTTAGGATAGTTTTACTTAAGAAACAATACAAACATGAAGATGTTTCTCTATCTCTGACCCAGTTTCCTCTATAGGCAAAATTAAGGAACCTATATTGGAATATTGTTATTAAGTAAATTCAATATTTTATTTAAATTTCTCTAGCTTGTGCCTAATGTTTACTTGCTTGTTTTGTTTTGGGTTACTATCCAGGATACTACATGCATTCTGAAAGCAAATTTTCTCACCGGGTCATTGTTTTTTATTATCTCCTGTTGCTAGCATAGCTTCTGGTATTTTGAAATAACTTAGTGTTTGTTGAAATGAACCACACAAATAAATTAATGAGTTTGGCATATTTTTATAAGCATTTATGGCCTTGAACATCACAATTTGTATCTCCTAAAATTGAATACCACAGAAAAAATAGCATATGTTTGTGTCTATATTAAGTGTTAAATTTCATTCGTTTCTACAGCTTTGTCTATATGATTGTGAGTCATCATAGTAAATTAACCAGAAATGGCTTTCTAGATTTTCTGAAATTTATAAATTTTATGTTTGTGTGTGTATGTGTGTGTTTGTGTGTGTATGCGTGTGTGTCTTCAGTCTTCTATTAGCCTGTCTTTGATTGGCTGTAATTAAGAGAAGCTAATCCACTAGAGGCATGCTCTGTTACTTCTGGTTGCTCCAATATATAATTTTCACTTCTTTTGTTCTTTTAATTATATTTCTTCCACTAGATTCTTACAAGCTAGAAAGGTGAGAGTTTAATAAACACCACTCTGTTAAAATATAGTATATAATTTTAAGCTTAGCCTTTGCTAGTTAAAATAAAAAAAAAAAAGGATGAAGAACAATCATTTTGCTTCCCAACACTGTGATGATGATTTTCAGTAGTATTTAAGAACTTAAAGGGTAAAAGTGACTGATAGGTAATTCATTGATAAAAAATATCAAATAAGGATGCAGAAAAAGTACAAATAAGGAAAATGAACAAGTATGCTTCATCTAAAAAAAAGTTTCAAATCATATGAATTATCATTCTTAGAGCCAAAAGGAAATTTGTTCTTTGCCTACAATTTTTTCCAAACACTTCTCTGTGGAAAAAGAAGCAATTTCTGTGATTATGTTTTTTCTCCCTCTAACCTTTTCCTTCCCTCCCATTAGTGTCATGATTTTTAAACAAGGCAATTACTTCATCATCCATGTCATTCTTCCTGTTAATTTTATGTCTTTTGTTCGGGAATCAAGACTTTTTAAAATATTAATAATCATCAACTTTCTTTGTTTTTCATTAACCTCTTGTGATTATTTCAAGTATCATACAAACCAGCCACACTATCTTGGGTCAATATATAATTCTGCTCCATATCTAGTGCACAATGGCATATGTGCTAGACTAAAAAATTAATAATTGCTATTATTGATATTAGGAAACTATTTCATATCTAGGTGAATTTTCAGTTATAATAGGATTCTTATGCTAAACGACCTTATTGTCCAAATCACTGATGTCAAATTAAAATTTGAGGGAATAAAAGTTTTACAGGTAATTAGAGAATAACTTCTCAAGTTGCTTTTTTTAGAAGCAACAATTTATATAATAGAGTTCAAATTATTAAAGTAGTCACTAAACATGCAGTCAACCTTCAGTAACATGACCAGGGACATATGAATATTTCAAACTCTCTTCTACCTCTTTATCTTTCTTTTGCTTTTACTCAGATTTCATGTCTCTCTCATGTTCAGCATATGGTTCTGATTTTCTTTTCTTTTTTTCATATTTAAAGAACAGGTTTATTAGGGAAAGGGACAGGAGAGTAAAAGACACTTGCATAGACACAAGCGGGCAGGAAGAGCTGCCCCCAAAGGGACAGGTTTGCTGAGAAAGGACTGCATAGTTGCAGGCGGGAGGCCTTGAGGAGAGCTGCCTCCGCTGAGGGAGGTCAGTGAAGAGAAACCCCGGCATGGTACAGGTCACAGGCAGACAGAAGGCTGCTGCCCTGCAGAGTGAGAGCATTGAAAAGAAGCACCTGCATAGGCACAGGAAGGCAGACGGAGTGCTGCGGTTGTGGTTTTCTTAATAAACACTTACCGCTTGTCCTTCTATGAGGTGACATGCTCTGCTTTCCTGGATAGGAAAAGTCACTTAAATGCCTGCCCAGAGGAATCTAATCCCCAAAACTGGTCAACACTAGCACTTCAAATGGCCAGCTCTCAAGCTTACACCAAGGATGGATTCAGACAATGACATTATGAATATAAAGATGAGAAAACTTCAAAATTTCTATATATGAATATCTGATTTGAGTTAGAAATCAAAGAATTGTGGCAGGCATTATCAACTTTATAAAGGGACTAAATATATTTTGAGATATCTAATTATATTCATATTCACTGTATCTGCATTTCAAAACTATTCTCACATTAGGAAAATATTTTAAAGACAAAAACAGTGTTTTGGTTATTAAGGGAAGCCATTAAATACTGAAGTGAATTTGATATGCAGAGATATAAATAAATGTTACATATTTATTAACATTAAAACAAATCTGATATTCCCTTAAGATTTTCTTTAACAGGCAAAGACATTGATGATTATTATAAATATCAAATAAATGATGAATATTCACAGGACTTACAGTACTATCCATGTTTCAAATACATTAATTTATACTAAAGAATTTTTTGAATTAGTACTCAGGGAAAATGCTATTATATGTTTCAGAGGATACAAAATCAATTTAGCTACACTTCAATTAAGTAATAATCTAACTCCCCATTATCAATACCCTCCCTTCATTTTGCTGTACTCTCATGAATTAAAATTCAACTCTCTGCCTATTCCATTCACACAGATTAACATAACCGAGGAAAAACACAACATCATGCTGGCTATGTTCACATTAAATTTATGGTCAATCTCAAATAAGCCATAGCCTTGCAACAATACAGCATCCAATCATTTTCCCTTCTTTATATATTGCTTTTTTTTAAAAGATTTATTTATTTATTTATATAAGCACTGGGTACAGTCAGAAGTGCGGGAGAGTGAGAGATTTCACCAGAGCCAGAGCAAGGAACAGAACAGGCAGACTGACGAAATACACTGCTGAGGGAGCAGTGGGCACGGCAGGAGAGGTCTGCGCAGCCTGTGGGACCCTTGCCAGAGGCCGGGGATCGAACCTGTGCTGCAGAGGCTGCAGGGAGCTTCACAGCCCAGAGCTCAACCGCTGTACCACCAGGGGAGGCCTTCCTTTATTTATTTCTAATCTTGTCTTTACCTCACACTTTAATACCGCCTTCCAAAGCTCAGTTGTTGATGACTTTGTTCCTATTCCTCTCAGAGGAAAAAAAGATACTGAAAGATTCAACTAGAAAGTGTGGTGGAATCACCATAGGATGAGCCCCGACAAATCCTACTCTCTTGTCTAGACCCTTCCTTTGGAATGTGAATAGAACCTATGACCTAGTTCCAGGCAATAGAAAATGGAAAGGGAGTGGAACATCACTCACATTATATAGGAAAGATGAAATGATATTGAAAATGTAATTAATACCACTATTCACTTGATTTTGGTAAATCTAATGGGAGAGTACCTTGGGTGGGACTTACTAAATCAATATCAATTTATAAAGGCCTAGGCCTTCTCTATAGGTACATGCTCAAAGCAACAAAGAATCTCTCAAGTGCAAGTTTTGAATTAGCACACTGTTGTGAATTCTCGGTAACAAAAAAAAATGAATTCTGCAATAACCACATAAACTGGAAAGCAGACCCCCAAGTTTAAGTAAAACCACAGCTTTCACTGACATCTTGCTTGCAAACTGGTGAGGTCTGGATGACGAACCCATGGAAACTGTAAGCTATTAAGACAGTACTGTTTTAAGCACTGCTAAAAGTTCATTTCTGTCCTTCACTACATCATTGTCACTTTTTTCCTTATTTACCCAAACCCTTTTCTCTTTCTTCCTGGTAACCATTAATCTGTTGAATACTCCCATGTTTATTTTTGTTTTGTTTATTTCATCTGTTTTCTCTGTGTGCCACGAGTAAAATCATATGGTGTTTGTATTTTTCTGTCTGGTTTATTTTACAAAGCATAACTCCCTCTAGGTTCATCCATGTCATTGAAAGTGGCAGGATTCCATCTTCTTCCTCTTTTTTTTTTTTTTTTTTTTTTTTAAGCTGTGTTCTTTAGGTTGATACCTAGAAGTAGAATTGCTGGTTGTATGGCAGATCCAATTTTAGTTTTTTAAGAAACTAATTTCCATAGGAACTGGACCAGTCTACATTCTACCAGCAGTGAAAGAGGGTTCCTTTTTCTTCACACCCTCGCCAACACTTATTGTTTCTGGTCTTTTTTATGTGGGCCATTTTTGAAAAGTAAAACATATCGAACAAACCTAAAAAAATAGAGGTAAAGGAAAGGCTTCAAGTAGAAGAAAATATCCCTAAAAGTAATGCTAAGCAGGGCCTCCCTGATGGCACCAGGGTTAAGATGCAACCTATAAAGCAATCCGCAGCCACTGCAGCATGAGTTCGATTCCCGC